GGCATTCTCTGTGTACTCCTCAGACTCAGGCCTGTACTGCACTGCATATGCGCTCTCATCCTCATTCTCCTGAACTCTCTCCGTGTCGTAACTGTCCTCCACCGTGGCTATCACATCCCCTTCTGCAGTATCCGTGTGATTGTGGAAACCACTCTCAGTGCTGGCTGACCGAGCTAACATCCCTTCCTCCTCCTGCCCAGACAGGCCCCCTTGGCTGCTGTTTGTGTGCCTTGGGTAGCGAGTTGCATACCGCTGTTCCTCTTCCAACTCTGAGTGCTCCAGGTCAGCCTCCACTGACTCGTTCACTGCTCCATTTGCTGGTTCTTCACTTACCTCCCCCTCAGGCGGTCCAACCAAATGGTTCATGGCAAGTTCTGGTGGGTAGGTCACTTATTCTATTGACATTTTGTCTATCACAGCTGGAAAGAAATAAAAAAATAAAAAAACACAACTCTGACGTTACTCTTAAAAAGAAGTGGAGTCAATAAACAGAAGCAACAAAAGGCACCCCTCCTTCCCCAGCAGACAAACTTTTGACTTCATCAGCTCTGAAATCAGACGACAGCCAGTGCAACAGTATGACCTCCTGTGCAAATGATCTGCTACAGCAGCAACCAACAACAATCCCCTTCAGGACTGCGCTTGTCAATTCTATGGACAAATTCTCTGTGGAAGAGTAATTTCCAAGCACCTCCTTGGAGACAATTCTATGGACTGCTGTGGCATTTCAGTGACGTTGGCAGGCGCATGTTAGAAAAGCTAGCTTTTGCCAGGGGCTAAACTATGGTAGAGATATGACAGAAATAGCGCACCTTTGCTCCACTGCTCTCCCTACAGCTCACTAACTTGGTGCAAAGGAAGGGTGCTGTAATGTAAAATGACAGATTTAGTCCCATCACAGGAGTCTGCAATTGCTCGGATACATGACAGCTATGCACACTACACTTCTTCAGTATGGTGTCTTCAGCTGAGTTAGTCACCCCTATGCACTTTTAAAAAATCATTAGAAATAAAAATGCACTCTCAGGTATCTGAAGCACCCGTTCCTTCTCCCCAGAGAAGCACATGACAGCTAGATACAACGTGGTTACCTTTGTGGAATGTATCTGTAATCACTTAAGATGGCTTTTGCACCAAACATCTTTCCTAAAACATGGAGACAACCTTACTAATATTCATAACCATGACCACATTGAGACTAGTGAGACATCTCAGCCTTGATGACTTTGAGTAAAAATCTCAAAAGATGATATAATTATTAGAGAGATCTGCCAATAACAGTAAATACGCATTTACCAGGCCACAGAAACAGGAAAACTCCATAAGAATACATGCTAGCTTCTCCAAGCTTCACAGAGCAAACAGGCCTATCTAGCCCAGGTGGTTTCATTTTTATGTAACAGCTTCAGCTATTTTGAACCTTGCCCTATGTTTTTAAAATGTAGTGTCATAAATAGGATATTTTATGTCTTTTTAGATTGCCTAATTCAAACCACATATCCATAAGTAAAATACAGCTCTAGCCTGTGACTTATTGGTAAGTAATAAAAGAAAAGGTACCTGCTGGAAGGCTTCTAACTTAAGGATCTATAAAAGTTCATGCCAATTACCAATTAAAAAAAATTAACGTGAATGTAAAATAGAAGTTGAACCAAATGTAATGAGCTGAGGCAAGGAGGCTCAGGCAGCGCTTTGCTGACTAAATGAGCTCTGTTCAGAAGAATGGTGGGGATAACTTCCAGTGATGAGAAAGCAACAGTAATTTCAGTTGCCCTCTGTTAGAAAAGCTGTCAGGCAGGCAAGGCTGGGCAGGAGTTACTTGGGCTACAGTTTCCTAGGATATGTATAGGGTGCAGCTTCCAGCTCAGCTAAAGAAGGTAGGTTAGTAAGAAGCCTTCAGGGACAAGCTAAAGTCTTTTCCAGCTAAGACTTCCAAAAAAACCCAGGAAAGAATGAGCAGAATATAGGTGGGTATGCAGGCGTGCTCCAGAACTAACAAACCAAACACTCTCCTCCCCGCAGCATATGACCATTATTTAAGTAAACAAGAACAATACTGGAGGGCTTTCCATTTTAAGCCCACAGAAAGAAGAGTGAAGATGCCAAGGCATAACAGCCCTTTGAAAGGCCCATTCCAAGCAAGATTTCCTGCTTCCATTGAAGTCAGTTACAAAATTTCCTTGGCTTTGCAGATAGACAGAATTGGACTAAAATAGAGGGCTGTTTAAAAATTCTACCTTAAATCTGTTGCATTCCAAGTAGGCCCTGAGTCGCACCAAAGTGTCATTGGTCACCCACAGGAAAAGGGCAGCATGAGTTGAAAGAAATGAAGTTACACAGAAATGCAGGGTGATGACCAACTTCCCCAACTCTTTATCACATGTACCCTGCCACATCATTAACTGAATTATGTTAAGTTAGAAAAGAAGGCAAAATTCAACTGCATGAAGGCCACCTATACCTCAGGTCAAATAAGGTACCGAACGCCACAGTATTTATGACAATGGAAGTCCTGATAGCATCCGAAAATAAGCGATCCTGTTTTAGAAGTCTTAATACAAGCTCGTAACATAAAGCATACTACAGGCAGACAGCATCGCTGACATATCTAGCTGTGAAAAACAAATTATGGAGATTACAAACCACACAAAATGTTGCTAAAAACCACCTGAGAGCCCCAACGTTCTCCTTTTGCAAATCAACATTTCCAAAGTTCCACCTCTGAAATTGGCCTCACTTAAAGAACGATTTCAGCTTAATTTCAAATATTGATATCCTGAAATTTTCAAGGTTGTGTCTTTTGAAGAGATGAGGAAGAAAATTTAAGCTTTACTTAAAGCTTTTTACTGAAAAAAGGTCCTCTTCTGTTTGCCCTTCCTCCAATAGTTTCAATTTAATTTCACTTTTTAATTTGGCAAACAGTAAAATACTATTCTCAAATGTATTTTGAAATAAAAAAGAGAAATTTTAGTTGTTAGAAAAGGACATAAGTTTACTTATAAAATTATAGGTCTGAATAAATGCCCTTAGGTCACCTAAGCCCCAATAACCTTCAATAAAAAGTAAGCTTCTAAGTCAAGTACATTGATTTGACTGTGTTAACAATCAGTCTTTAGGACAGTAATTTAAAGAACCCCCTATTAAGGTTGGAGATTAGAAGCACTAAATCCCTTTTCATACACAGTAGCTGGAAGACTACTAAAAACCACATTTTATTATTCTTAGTAGCACTTCCCTCAAGCAAATGCAAGGTCTGCCTGACTTTTCTCACCAGGCCTTCAAAAAGCACTTTATTTCCAGCAAGCAAACTAAATTCAATAACCTACATAAAATGCCATAGACAGAGGAGAATATAAGCAAGATAGGTCAACTGACCTTGGAAATAAAGACACAGCACCCATCTGAAAGATATTATGCTCTCACATTAATTACCCAGAACAGCAGCTGTGCACCAGTAATCAAACATGTATGGTAAAGTGCTCTGTAAGCACTCTTAGCTTTGCACTCAGGACTTGATGGATGAATCTGTCTCCAAAATAGAGAAATCAGAGGTTGATTACTACTGCAGCTAGCTTTTTGCTGAAGGTTAAAGTACCTCCCTGCCTGTAAAGAAGAAAAATTAAACATCTCCACATACTTTCCAAGCAACATAAAGAAAAAGCTTCAAGTTTAGAGATTTTTCTCTGCTACTTTATACTGAAAAAAGAAGTATGTAAAACACCACCAAAGGGCATACTATCATCTTGGGGCAAGACCACAACATCCATGCTGAGTGCTACTCAGGAAAAGACATGCAATAAGAAAAGGTGAAAACGAGAGTGTTTTCAGATTCCAGTTTCTTTTTTTTATTTGTTTCCCAAGTCCAGATGTAGAATTGTTTGCTTTCTTGTGCATGCAGGCAGAAATGAAGGGGTTTTTTAATTATTATTCCAAATATGCTTTCAGAGTTTGTTTTATAAGGGCACTACACATTGTATTTCCACAGTCTAACCCCGACTTTTCGAAATAAAAGATCATGCTCTCAATAGGTCTGTATACTATTGCTACTGTCTCAAAACAAAGCTGCGCGCCATGTGGAACCAAGACTACGCCTACACACACAGGTTTTTTTCACAGATAGGATAACAGGATAACTCAGTTTGGAAGGGACCACACGAGGTCTCCACTCCAAGCCCTGCCCAAAGCACAGCCAGCTCTGGGCTCAGACCAGGCTGCTCAGGGCCTTGTCCACTTGGGGCTTGATAACCTCCATGGCAGGAGACAGCACAACCTGTCTGGGGACCCAGCTCCACTGCTGGACCGTCCTTGTGGGGAAAATGTTTCTTCCTTATAGCCAGTTTGAATTTCCCCTGTTTCAGCTTGTGCTAGCTGTCTTTAACCCAGCCTCCTGCCGAACACTACTGTGAAGAGCCCGGCTGCACCTCCTCCACCCCCTGGGCTGCTGCTGGGTGACCCTGAAGCCATCCCTCCCTCCCAGCTGAACCAGCCCCAGTCCCACAGCCTCTCCTTGCCCGGCAAGGGCTTCAGCCCCACCGTCTGCGTGGCCTCCCCTCACTTCCCACCAGTTTTTGTCAGTGTCATTCCTGTATCGGGGACCCAAACTGGAGGCAGTACCCAGGGGGCGTCTGGCAGGCAGTGAGCAGAGGGGGACAGCCCCTACGTTCCCCAGGATCCCAGGGCTGTGTCCTGCTCATGCTGCCCCAGGTGCCACTGTCCCTATTTCTGAAGACGGGCCGTTCCCCAGAGCTGCTCCTTGCCCTCACCAGTCCCAGCCTGTATCATAGAATCATAGAATGTTTTGGGTTGGAAGGCACCTTTAGAGGCCATCTAGTCCAACCCCCCTGCAGAAGCAGGGACACCGCTAAGTAGATCAGGTTGCTCAGAGCCCTGTCCAACCTGGCCTTGAATGCTTCCAGGGATGGGGCCTCCACCACCTCTCTGGGCAACCCGTTCCAGTGTTTCACCACCCTCATTGTAAAGAATTTCTTCTTCATATCCAGCCTAAACCTACCCTGTTTTAGTTTAAAAACATTACCCCTTGTCCTGTCACAGCTGGCCCTACTAAAAAGATTTTCCCCATCTTTCCTATAGGCCCCCTTTAGGTACTGAAAGGCCACAGTCAGGTCTCCCCGCAGCCTTCTCTTCTCCAGGCTGAACAAGCCCAACTCCCTCAGCCTGTCCTCATAGG